AAAAAAAAAAAAAAAAAAAAAAAAAGGAAGAAAGAAAGAAAGAAAAACTGAGCAGTATTACCAGCATATCACGGAAACATAAATACATAAATTACATGTTCATACACCTAACGTCAGACGTACATTCACGGGCACAGCATTGTGAACAGCACAGTGCTAAGACGGCAGCACATGGGGCCTGGGTGTCCATCTGTCCATCCAAGGCGAGGGAGCCAGGAGACACGGCTACCCTGGCCCTCCACCTCCAGGCCTCCAATCGCCCACTTGAAGAGTGTCCAACTGAAGCCCGAAAACTGTACCATGTAGATGAGCTGTGGATCTTCCAGAAGCACATGAACAACAGACGCCGGCTGGAGACAACTGCACAGGCCACACGGGGGTCAAGGTCCAAAGGGATCTCGGCGGTCACAGAGCCGAGGCGTTGGGAGGGAAGCCGCCAGCACGGCAGGGCTCCAGGCTGCTCGCATTTAGTGCCCAGTAAGTGGACACGGCCAGGTCAGCTCACTTCTCAGATAAAACTCATTGTCCCCTGGCTGCTCTGATGCAGTGGATGGTCTCCTCCTCCCCATGAGGCAGCAAACAGCCTGTAGGGCGGCGCTCTCTGGCCTGTTCCCAGTAGATTCTGGAGTCCCAAGCTGCATAGGCTCCGCAGTCCTCAAGTTCTCATGGGGGGCAGGTTGGGGGCACCAGCCCAGAAAGCTCTAATCTCCCAGTCTTCACCCAGCTGACCATGTGACCAGGGAATGGGGATCTAGACTTGGTTAAGCAACTAGAAAAACGTGACCACAAAATGCTTTTCATGTGCATGAGTTTTGTTGGTGGGTTTCTTTTTAATTTTTGGATTAAAAAAAACACAAAAAAACATAGCAGGCTCGCAGGTATATAAAACTGGTAATATTAGATAAAAATACAAACTTCACCTTTACAAAAAAAACCAAACAAACAAACAAACCACACACACATTTCTGTTAATACACGTAAAGCATAACATCTTACCAAAAATAATTTCAGTTCTGTCCAAACACTGGCGGCAGCAGGGACTGACTCCCAATGCCACAGTGCATTAACAATTCACAGGGAAGTAATGACGCACCTCACCCAGCCACACGTGGAAAATGACATTCTGCGGCGTGTGCTGTGGGGGACATGATACCACCCAGCCACAAAGAGGAACTCCAGGGGCCAGAGCTGCAGGGATGGTATACGATTGATTGACGCATAGTTCTCTCAAAATGGCTTAAATTAAAAAATAAAGTGGGGTAAGGGAGAAACACATAAAGCCAGAAACATGTAGGAAATGATGCATAGGTAAGTATACCATGTTTATTTTAATACATCTCATTAGTTTGCATCCTGCTAGGAAAAATACCGTCGCATTGTCCTGACAGTTACAGCAGCCTTGTGTGTTATCGGTGTAAATGTCATCCGAGAGATAATTAAAAAAAAAAAAAAAAAAGCTAGGCAAAGAGTAAAAAGGAAAGCTTAATAATCACTTTATGGTGTAAAAAAAAAAAAAATCCGCTTAAGGCTCTCAGAAGGTTTCTGTATAGACTTAAACACTACAGCGAGGAGGTGTGGTTTCTAAAGTTCGCGTGGCGGTTTTCGAGACATTCCAGCTTCCTGCGTGCCACTGCAGAGCCCACTGGCATCCCTTTGGAGTCATTCCGAAAGCAGGCTGTGTCCTTGGCAAAAAGCACCTGTGACCACCCGGACAGAAATCCAGTCTGCTGAGACCTCCACACTGCACTGCCAGCCTGCGGGGGGCGACCCTCCATCCCGTCGACTGTTTTCGATATTTTTGTGAGTCCGTTTTGTTTCTGTCGTGTTTTGTGGTTTTGTTTACTCTCCCTCTCTCTCTTTTTTTGACAAGGAAGCTTCTTACTGTTTCACCGAGTGCTACAATACTTGCTTTGATGTCACATTAAACAAATGTACACTGTCTCTTTGTTCTCCAGAGTGTTCTTGGACACAGTTTTTCACGGAGGGGAACAAAGACCGCACGCTGGCAATAAAGCACCGTACATAGTAGGTTCAGGAATGTAACACGCCATGTACATCCATGTCCCAGGAAAGGGCCGCTGGCTCATCCTCACCTCACATCTGTGGGGAGAGGGGAGAGAGACAGACATTGAGAGGCTGGGACCACTGAGCACACACATTGCTGCGTAGAAGGCAAACGGGGTGAAACAATTTAACCTGATCAGAAGCACAAAGGGGTTTAACGTTTTCATGAAATTTTTGAAATCAAACTTGCCATGTAAGCCACATAGCAACATCCTGACCAGAATTGGGACTAGGCTCACAGCATCTCACAGAACACATCTTGAAAGCAAGCCCCATTCTCCCATTGTACAGATGGGGGAAACTGAGGCCCAGAAAGATTCTTTTGCCTTTCTCCCTACCTTCCTTTCTTCCAGCCTAGGGCTTGGATGTGATTTCTGGAGCTCTGGCAGCCATGTTGGCCATGAGGCAATGCTGAGGATAGACGTCACTAGCCACAGACAGAAGGGGTCCCTGTGACCGAGCAGATCTATGCTGAGCTCTCTAAGAACAGCTCTCCACAGTCCTCCATTCTGTCCATTGCACATTCCAACAAACACACCACCCACAGGCCCATAGCCTGAACGCTAGCCAGGTCCAGGGCATCCGAATGCCTGCCTCTCACTCTCGGGTCTCTGTCATCAGCTGGCCCTTAGAGATCAGAGCCTAGCACTCAGTAGACACTAAATGCACAGGCAGGCACAAAACCACCCCCCACACCACACCCTGGGCCCACAAAGCCAAGTGTGAGCCATCACTTGGGACTGCTTCAGACACCCACCCAAGTGCATACTTTCCTCCTAAGAAGATCCTCGTGAATGGACCTGAGCTGAGGGGGCCTCAAAGTCACACACTACCCAGCAGAAGCCAGGGCTCTCAGACACCCTATCTCTGAGGAATCTACTCCATTCTAAAACAACTATTTGTTTTGGATGCCATGAAGTCCCACATGCCAGGAGAAAGGGCCAGGCTAGACGGGCTCCAACTCTCCTGAGCCAAACAGGCCAATGCCAGGATGACCGCAGTTACCCAAATCCCATTTTCTTCTGGGAAGCAAGATGCCTCACTAAGAGACTATGGCCCCAGACTTTCTTGCAGCTGAGGGACAGCAGATGAGAAAAAACCAAAAGTCACCAGGTGGGATTTCTGGGAAGGCTCTCCAAGGGGGTTCTTCTGCTCTTCTCCCCACTTTTCACTTTCTTCCAGCCTAAAGCACAGATGTGATTTCTGGCTCTTTAGCAGCCACTTTGGGCTATGAGGCAACTCTGAGGATAGATGCCACCAGCCCAAGATAGAAGGGGTCCCTGATGACACTTCAAGATTGTCATACCAGCTCTGGCCTCCCCATCTTTACATGAGAATAATGAATTCATACCTTATCTCAATCCCTGTTGTTTCTGGTGTTACTAGCAGCCAGACGTAATTTCCGATACAATAGCCAATAACCTGTATATTTATAAAACATTTTCAGATCTACTCAGCCTTCAACAATCCTTATCTGTAATCTCTGTTCAGCCTCAGTTTTTTCATCTGTCAAATGGGGTGGGCAACCCGCCCAAGGTGATCCCAGCTAGTAACCGTCAGAGCTACCACAGCTGCTCAAGAAATGCCATCCGTTCCATTTGTGTGTGATGCTTCTGTGCTCCCAATCAACGACAAAGACAAGAACAAAGCCAGAAGCGAGGGCTCCAGATCAGAAATGAGCCATGGATCGGGGCTTTCTGTGAGGCAGGAGGGGACGAGAGCAAGAGGACCCACAGCCCAGCAGACATGGGAAGCACGCAGAACCGTCAAGGCCAATCAGGGCCCCCGGGAGACGGGAAGCGCGATTCACTGGCATGATCAGTCGATTGCATCTCCCAGCCCTGCAGGGATTCAGCATGTCCAGCAACAGCTCCTACCTGGTTGGCTGCTTTAGGTGGGTTTTAACCTTTTTCTTTTCCGTTTTTTACCTGACTCCCTACGCCTTCCTGTTAACAAAAGGGCAGGGACGGTGAGTGGGCCTACGGGAAGGCTGTCGGGGTATAAAACTGAAGCAATAAATACCTGAGGTGTTTATCTTTCGGAAAGAAAACTTGACAGCCCTGGCACAGAGACACTTCCAGGCCCCTCCTCCTGCTCTAGGGCTGGCCCCGACTCAGCGGGCCACACACACCGAGCTGTTCTTGGGCAAAGTCTGCTCAGCAGGGTGAAGGTCAAGACCCTGATCAGCAACGCCGCAGTCCACTATCCACCTTCCCACCTGCTCTTCCCGGCCCACCTAGGTGGGGGCCCTTCTGTAGCCCCCTCTCATCTTACCCCACCAGCCCCCCAATCCAGGTGGATGGCTTCGGAAACACACCCAGCCCATCTCACTCCAGTTTGAACCTCCTCTCCTGCCAGCTCTGCGGCTCGGCCCATGCTCCCTGTCCAAATGTCCCGCAGGTGGCAGATCTGCCTCCCAGCCAGGCTCCCAAGTGTGCGCTTGCCCCTTTAACAAGGAACCGATTCATTCAACTGCAGCCTCACATGCTACCACCCATCGAGGGTCCCACTCCAGGGGACCACCTAAAAACCCAGAAGCAAGGCTTTAAGGATCCATTCTTGAATGATGAGCCCAACGCAGGGAGCCACTTACCCGTCTCCTCTTCCCGATAATCTGGATTCAAGCTGGAGGTCGTACACGCACACTCCAAGTGTTCCTCTAACCTCACCTGGACTTCTTTTAATTTTGGCTTCTTCCTGACATATTCCACCTTGGCCACCTGCCAGAGAGAAGAGCCCAGCCATGAGCACCTAAGTAGAGCTTCAGACGTCTCAACTGGCTAGGAGCCAGGGACGCGCTTGACCCCACCACCCCAGACCGGGAGGGAGGTGGGAGCAGCCTGACCTTTGACCTCCAACCTCCTCCCCCACTCTCCCTCATGGAGAGGAGGGCAGGAGCACCAGGTGAAAAAACGAGCCGCAGCATAGTATCTTGTGGGTTGGTCCCATTTCTGTTTAAAATAACCCCAAAGGCTCATGTGTGCCTGGGAGGCCTGAGGGATACACCCACAGCAAAGGGAGAGTTCTGAGGCACAGGTGGCCAGGGAAGGTGTCTGCTTGTATGTTTACACACAGCTGGGAAATGTTTTCGAACGTGTACTGCTGAGCTTGGTTCCTGGCTGGACCCTTGCTCAGAGAAGCCCTCATATCCCCGCCTTCTTCCCACCATCCACGGGAGAACAACAGACGTGGCCCCACGGGTCCCCACAAGGAGGCCGGTGGGTTTGTGTTGGATTCTGGCTGTTGTGGACTCAAAAGTCCAGATGATGACCCCACGTGCTCCTGGTCACACTGCTGGCCTGACGAGGACCCCTTCCCTCCCAAGTGGCCAGGCCAGGCAGACCCACGGCCACCTGGTGGGCTCAGTCCCAGGCATGAAGCCTCCTCGTGGCTCTCCCTGGGCTCAGAGGAAACCTGGCCTTCTTGGAAATGTGGGTTGGAGACCCCAGACCACCCCAGGGGCCACACAAGACGGATCCAGGAGGAGAATCAGGCTGCCAGACTGTGGCTTTGATGAGCCGGGCACCTCCTCTTCCAATACCACACCAGCCCTCAATTCTCTGGACACAGAACCACAATGCAGTGACCCACCTCCACAGCCCCCTCCCAGCCCCTGAGGAGCCACAGAGAGGAAATGGCCCAGTCCAGGCCCAAGAGGGCCAAGACACAACCTCCAGGTCTTCAAGAATGGAAAACAAGAAAACAAGTCCCTGGCCCTACAGGGCAGGCATCTTGGACATCCATGGTCCCCACATGGGTGACCAGGACATTCTGTCATGAGAAAGCAACCCCACCCCCCCACCACACACATGCAAATACACACAGAATGCACACACAGGCAACTGCACACTCCCTCACACACACACACACACACACACACACAAACAGTGCACGTACATGGCTGGCATCATAGATACTTAATACATCCACCCCGAGGCAGTGTGTGCTGGGCACCATGCTGAAGAAACCCATGTGCTCACACTTCATCCCAGCGTACAGATCACGTGGTTAGAGAAGTAGCTCTCCAGTCCACCCTCCTTTCGAGAGTCCAAATATCAACATTCACTTAATCCTCCTAGCAACTCTATAAGTAGGCAGGATTATCTCCTCCATTAACAGCAAAGGAAACTGAGGTACACACAGGCAAGCCACTTCCCCACGAGTGGCAGGCTGTCCCTAACCACAAGGCTGTCTCATCTGTCACCTGGAACATATGTGGGGGAACCGCCACCATCTTCTTGTCCTTTCCAGGCCCAGTACACAGTAGGCACCCCCTCTGTGCCAAGGGAACCAACCGTGCAGGCTTCCCCAGGGTCTAAGTCCCAGGAATGGCCCTCAGGGATCACTCACTTCACCCCTCACTGTTCACTGGGGAAACTGAGGGTGGAAAAGGGGCAGAGTCCGCCTTGGGTTACCGCCTGAACACGTGGAGGTTGGGGAAGCTCCTGCGCCAACATTGGCACCAGGTGAATGAGACCCCGGGCTGAGACCAGATGCCCCCAGCCCAGTGGTTCCAGACTCCCAGTGGGGAGTCAAGAGGGTGAAGGCAGGAAGGCATTTTCCAACCTCCTTCTCCAGGAGTCAGGAGCCAGGAGAACCCCCAGACAGGGGGTTCTGCCCTGCACCCTGAATCCAGAAGCCCACCCACAGGTTAGCCAGTCCCCAAGGCACTGGGGTCCGGGCCTGTCCAGACCCTGCCGTGGCTGCCGCCACCTCAGCTGCATTAATGGTTAACCTGCAGTGCAAAGGCCCGGCAGGCGTGTGAAGTGGTGTGGGCTGCCCCGGGTGTGAACACAAGCCGCCAGGTATGAGCTGGGCAGGTGTGGGGCGTGGGCGGCCAGGGTCAGGAGCCCGTCCAGGAGTGGGGCCTCACTTGGGAGGTTTCACTACCGTCAGGAAACATGAGAGAACCTGGCCTGGGGCACAGCAGCACAGGCCTTTCCCCTGTGGAGCTGCTTTCTGGCAGGGCTCTGTCCCACCAGGCACTTGCTAGTCAGGGAGGTCTTGGAACAGTGCCCCCCACCACAGGCAATCTGCCTCTTCCCCCAGGGACAGTGAGCCCAAAGAGCCCAGGGCAGTGCAGTCAGACACCTCCGCCTCCCCATCTGTAGAATGGGAGCATCTATCACCCCCGCAACCCACAATCGGTCGTGATGAGGAACGAATAAGCTCACATCATAGAAGCACCCAGAACTTGGGACAGAGCCAACCTCCAGCAGTGGGCTACTACTGGTGTCAATATTTTAACACAGGGCCCACCTAACCAAAACCAGTCCCCAGGCTCCCAAGTCAGAGAGAAGCTAAGCCTGGAGGCTCCCAGGGGCTCCTGCACAGCTCACTTACAAGTCCCCAAGATGAGCATGGTGGTCGCCCCCCTCCGCTGCCCCCACCAGGCAGAGTGTGGGATCCCAGAGTGACCCTCCCTTTAAGAACTCTGGGCTGGGGAAGGCCCACCCTGAGGATAAGCAAGTCGCAAGAGGAACAGCAGAGGCCCACCCCAGGTCTCCAACAATCAGAAACTCCAAGTCTGTCTAGGTAGTAACTGGGGACCCGACTGCACAAAACAGGGCCCAGTCCCCTCCTGCCTCTATGAGTGCCGAGCAACCTCCTCCCCTGCCCCACTCCACCCCATTCCCCGGCCTGGGACACAACACCAGCCTCACACCCTGCAATCAGCCCGGCTGAACACCCGTGCTCCCTCCCACCCCTAACCTCTGCAGTGGAGACCAGGGACAGGCCAGTGGGCTCTGACTTCTTGAGTCCATGGGGCTGGGCATGGGCAGGGCACTTGTCCGCTCTTGGCCCCAGCCCCCTGGGCGGCACAGCCTCTTTGGTCAACAAGCAGCCTCACCTAGTTCCCTCTGCAGGGCAGATACTAGGGCTGGGGCTCGGCCAAGACCACAGGGCCTGAATGGCCAGACACAGGACTTCCAGGGACTCCCGGACCGAGGGACAGCTTGTACGTCTCTCTCCAAGGCAGGTGGGTCACTGTAGGGAAGGTGGGCTCTCAGGGCACAACAGAAACACCGTCCCTCCCAGTCCACGTGCAAAGGGCACACAACACAGGCCTCTCCAGACTGGGAACCCACTTTCTCTTCAGACAGGCCCATTTTTATCAAAGAAAAACAAACAGCGATTTATGATTGCACCTGCTTCTGAGTATGCAAGGATTCCAGGCCATTCCACCACCTCTGTCTGGCCAGGAAATGGCTACATTTTTTCCAAAAAAACATGTTATGAATATTAAATTCTCAAAAAACCTCCTCTATGAGAGCCAAGTCTAAAGAACAGAGACTATTAAATCCTTGGACCCCCATTCTTGTCTCCTCAGACCCCAGACCCTGTACCGGAGCCCCAGGTGGGGGTCCGCATGTCCCTCCCCACACATTTCCCTCTTCCTTCTCCCTTCGCAAAGGGCTCAAAGCCCGGAGGGCAGCAGGCGAGCACAAGGCATCCTTACCCACCAAGCCTGACACCCAGCCTCTTCGGCCCCCCAAGTTCTCTCCATGGGGAGGGACACTGAGACCTCCTCATCCTAGACTAATGCTGCCATGGTCACCACCTTCTTCCAGAGACCTGTGCACCAGACCACCAGACAGTGACCAATGGGGGCCCCAGCTCGGAAATTCTCACCCAGAACGCCCCTCCCAACTTCATTACAGGGTGCAGAGGCCCATCCTAGGCAGCCCAGGTGAGCACGTACCTTCCCGAAGCCTGAGGTCCAGCAAAGCAGAGCCACAGCCAACAACCCTCAATACGGTTCAGAGCTGGGAACTGGCTTTCTAGAGACTTGGGGGAGGCAGACCAAGTTAATTTACTGATGCACATTGGTTCACACCTACAAGGCTGCCTTGAAACAAACTTTCTTATGCAGTGATGGAGGCTAGGGGTTCAGGCGAGGTCACGTTAGATGGTGGCTCACAGCTGGCTCCTTTCCCCGACCTCGAGGCCCCATCCAATGCAAGGCCAGGAGAGGCATGAGCCAGGGGTGGACACCGCTAGGGGTCATGGCCATAGAGCTTCACTCTCGGACGAGGACCACTGGTGGCCATGGAGCCCACCCACCACTGTCCGTGCCCGGTTCCACTCCTCTCTCCTGACCCCTACAGCTTGGTTCTGGAGGACAATGTCAGGGGCATGCTGGGACCTGACACCAAGTGCTGACCAGGTCAAGCACAAAACAGGGAAAAGCAGCAGGGCTGGGGACCCCTGCCCCACCTCCCCCCAGGGATGACGGTCAGTGGTGTCCTGGCCATTCCAGCAGGGCCTGCCCAGTGTTGGGCCCAGATGACGCTTCCTCTCCAGATGCCCCCGGAAGACAGAGGAGAGCCCAGCCGCAGGCCCTGACATCAGAACGCCCCACATCCGAGACCCCAGTGTTGACCTAGGGGCAGTAACTACAACATCTGGGTGGGTCCTGTCTGGATCCTCAGCACAAGAACAGCTTCGAGCTGTCCTCACGGAAGGACTGGCCATTAACCCCAACATGTCCACCAGAAACCTAGGGCCTCAGTGGCCTCAAGGTAGCCTTTAGCTGAGCACACACTGGATAGGTCACCAGCCTAGGCCACAACAGAGTGACCACTCCTGGCCTGGCTGTTACCTTCTTTAATAAGAAAACTTTGAATGATAACCAAAAGGCCATAAAAACTGGAAAAACAGGAGACGCCACTCCCAGCCTGGGTGGACGGGGCTGCCATGGCCTCCCCCCTGCCCAGCAACGACCCCCTGCTGACCCCTGCACCCACTCGCACGAGTGCTTGGCTGGAATTCTCGGGGCCCATCTTCCTTTCTCCAGGTCGACATCTGCCTCCATCCCAAATGGAACAGGACCAGCCTCCTGGCTTGGCCTCCACAATGGGCCTCCTGTTCCCGCTGACCTTTTGTCCCCTGTGCCAGAGCCCCCAATGTCTGGGGCCGGATGTTTTCCTCCCAAGCCTCTGATGGGTGGGCAGGGAGAAGACGCCTCACTGAAGAGGGAGGACCAGGGAGGTGCCTGGGTCTGAGAAGGCAGGAACCGGGCATCCTGGCTCCAGCTGCAGGACTCAGTCCCTCTGTGACCTAAGGCCTGTCCCCTCTCGGGATGACTAGGACCCTGTCTGGGCAGAGGAGGCCAATGGGGTAAAGCTCAGCTCCACCGGCCACACAAAGCAGAGAAGGGGCCCAACCCAGGAAAGAGCACGTGCCCCCCGCCCTCCCACAGTGCTGCTAGGAGATGGGGGCTAGGACCTCTGGCCTTGAGGCTCTGACGGCTGCTGGACCCTACCAAGCTTACTCAGGGGGACAGAGAAGGGAGGCATCACTGCGTGGCTGGGACCAGACACCCTCCCACCCCACCCTGTCCTCACCCCATGGGAAGCAAGGGAGGAAACACTGGGGGCTCCCAAAGGCTGGAGCCCACAGGCCAAGAACCGTTACAGACTCGCTCACTCCACGCCAGTACCCCTGTACGTCCGAGCCCCCAGTCTTGCACACAGGAAGGACAGACAGCCCCTCAGTGCCAGAACTGACATATGGAAACATCTAATCTAGAGTACTGCCCCCCAACCTTGAGTACAAGACCATGGGTATCCTGGAATCTTGGGGCTCAATGAGACCCCCCCCAATATACCAATGAAGACACCGAGGCACAAGGAAAGGCAGAGGCTATAGGTGAGGGTCATGCCCCAGGGGCTGGCAGCAATGGAGCCCCCAAGAAATGGAAAATTGGGGGGCGGACAGAGCTGGGCTTGGCGCCTGGGTAAGTGGGGACCCCACCACTGGAGCCTGAAGGGCAGGGATGGCCCCCCCACCCCTCATACATAAGCAGCCTCTGAAGGCAGGAGGCCCCAGAAAAGCACCCCCAGGGCCCTAGGAAAACCTCAGGGCTTTTTAAGGGGAGTGTTTGGCCTTGGAGCTCCCGGCGCAGTAAGATGTGGAATTTGCTTACTCAATATCCTGAGCACCACAGAGGACCAAGTCCCCAGAGGTCAAGATAAGTCCCAGTTACGGGTCTAAAGTGCCCAGTCGTGTGACAAACAAATGGCCTGGCTGGTTTTCTTCCTTAATGAAGAAAAAGCATCTCACCCCAGGGCCTGGACCATTGAGGAGTGGGCTCTAAGGCAGCCCCAGAACAGAAATCCTCAAACCTAATTTCAGAGACTCTTTCCTTCTGCCAGAAAAAGTGGGTCCACCTGCCCCCCAAAACTCAGCTGAGCCTGCTCTGCATGAAAGGCAGATCCAACCAGACAGAACTTTCAAAGCAACACACCACGGCCTCCTGGACTGGGGGTCCATGCCCACCCACACCCCTGAGGGTCCTGTGGTATCATAACAGTGCCTAACCCAACTGAAGCAAGTTTCCAGGGAGAGAAGCCCTAAGAGAGCCCACCTCCCCTAGCCAGGGCCCTGGGGGAGGCTCCGGCCTCAGCCATGGCTCACAAAAGTCAAGAGACACCTCCCCCTCCAACCCTGTCCTTCTGAAAATGAGAGGCCAAAGGCCAGACAGGGACGGAGCACCCAGAAGCAGGACAATCCCCCTTCCAAGCAGAAAGGCCAGCAGCCTCAGCTCTCTCCGGAGTACACAGTCCCTGCCTCAGACCCAATGCACAGATGGGGCAAAGAGGCCAGAGGGGAGCTACCCAGGCCCTGAAGGCAAGCCATCGGCCGAATGCCACAGACCCCAATTTGGCTGCCTGGAGGGACGCAAAGAAGCAGAACTGTCCCCAAGGACTCAAGTGGCGAGAATAAGAAGCCCCCACAGGCATAATCTGAGCATGGCCTGAACCCACCAATGCTGCATCTGGAAATCACCAGCCCCCACCTGGGAGAGGGCTTGGTGGCAAGCGACCAGCTGTGTGCCGGCCCCTAGTGACCACAGGTTAGCGGCAGAGATGTCAACTCACACCACTGGATCCCACAAGTCTCTGAGAGCAGGAGGAAGGGCTTGGCCCTGAAACCCTGGCCCAAGACTTCAGCAACCCCAGAAAGACCCTTCCTGAGAGGAACTCAACAAGCCATTTGGGAGCCATTTCTCTCCCACAGTGTCCCTATGGCGTAGGGGGACTGCTATGGTCTGAATGTTTGTGTCCCTCCCAAGTTCATATGTTGGAATCCTCACCCTCATGGTGATGGTACTAGGAGGTGGGGTCTTCGAGAGGTGATTAAGTCATAAAGGTCATTATAATCAGGAAGCAGGCCCCCATCAGACACCAAATCTGAAAGTGTCCTGATCTTGGACTTCCAACCTCTGGAACTGTGAGAAGGGAATTTCTGTTGTTTATTGACCACCCAGTCTATGCTATTCTGTTACATCAACCTGAACAGACTTAGGGGGGGTGGAGCACGAGGGGAAGCTCACCTTGACACTCCGGTGGTGGATGCGTGAAGGCTGGCACTTGACACTGCTGGTGTTGCAGCAGCCAGTACAGCGCTTCACCTCCACACATGGGGGCCAGATCAGAAAGTTGGCAGACGTGGGGTCAACCTGGCTCCGAGGTATCTCATAAATGACCGTCCTGGTCTTGCAGACCGCAGGAATGGCTTCCTCTGCAGAGGCAAGAGCATGTGAATGCACAGACCACGCTCATCTCCTACAAGCACCATGCCCACCCTCCTCCTGTAACTCTCTGCCCCACCCAGGGCTGCAGGGGCACTGGCTGGGCCTAGGGACGACTGGGAGCCCAGCCCAGGCAGGGGCTGTCACCACATGGCTCCTGCCACCTCCAATGTGACCAAACATGCTGGGGGTATGCCACAGGATGAAACCCCTCTTTATCAGGGTGCAGATGAGCTGGCCAAAGCACACGAAGGAGCTCTGGGGCTGGGCAGGGAGGAGAGTTCTCCTAGCAAAGGGAACTGCATGACACCAAAGATTCAAAAGAGGCCCAGTGTGGCCCCTGGGGGTGTGGAGCTCTGCAAGCCTGGGAGGTGGTGGTATGTACCTGGCAGGAGACTCTCCCGTCAAAGTAGGTCTGTGAACTAGGAGAGGACAGGGGACACAGTCCTGACTTCCCCAGGGCCCAGGGACCTGCTCACGAAGGTCCTCGAGAGGCCACCCCGGACAGCCAGGAGGGAGGAGGCAGTTCTATTTTCTGTCTGCTCCTCAGCACAGGCCAATCACAGCCCTGAGGAACTCCAACTGCATGCCAGCAATTGACACAAACTGAGGAATCCCCCTGGGAACCCAAGTGCACACACCTTCCTCCCCAGCTGCTGCCTTACTAGTACCGCCTCCTGCTGGTCATTGTGTAATGGATGCCTGGCAGTGTCCAGCCACAGGGACTGGCCAGCAGAGGCCCTGATGCCTAGACAAAGGGCTGAGGAGTCCAGGCAGACTCTGGGGGCCACCCACAGGGCTGCTCCCTGATGCCCCCAGGAACACTGTGGGGCCACCTGGACCCCAGACCCAGAGCTGGAGGGAGCAGGAGGTGGTCAGCCCACAGAGCAAGGCAGAGGTTCGGCCCAGAAAAACAGCCGGGGAGGGGCCCAGCACTACCCGAAGATGCATAACCTACATGCACACCCGACAGCCCCAGCGCGAGCAGGGCCTTGCCCTCTGCACTCTCCCACGGGTCAACGGAAGAGCCTGCACTGGAATCAAAGGACCTAACTGAGTCCTGGGGAACAGCGTTAGCTCCTCTGCGTCCACAGAGGTGAGAAGACCTCCCATGGGCCCTATGGGACACCGCAGGTACTAGCATCCTCACTGGGCCTCAGCAAGTCTCTGGACAAGGGGCCTTCCAGTCCCTCTGAGAATAATAAAGATAAAGAGCAGCCCCTCGACCCCAACACACCAGGCCCACAGCATGCTGCACACTGCTAAGGCCCACAGCCCCTGACCACGTGGGGCAAGAGGATGGAGCCAAGGAAGAGCCTGCAGTCCAACCCCCCTGCTCGTGGACAGCTCCCTCCCCTGTCTGGACTTTGTAGAGGATTCTGCAGCACTCACAGGAGTGCCCTGGCCATTGAGATTGGTCTTAATGATGTGAAATGTATGATCCCCACAGTCTTCTGGGGAGGTCCTGCTTGCATTAACTAGGGGTTGTTTACCCACACACCACCCTCAAAGGTAGAAGACATAAAATCCATCTTCTTGAAGGAAACTAAACCTCAGACAGAGCCCAGGGTCACACAGCAATGAGCATTAACCAGGATTCAAACCCAGTCAGCTCCACAATAAGCAGGTGGAAACCCCAGATGGCATGGAACTGGGTGGGCCACACCTCCCAACCCTGCCCCCAGGTGAGAAAGCACAGACCAAGCCCAGGAGACCTCCACTAGCTAGTTCCTTCTCAAGAGGGCCAGATGGACATGGGATGCTCTGAGAGGCGACAAAAACCAAAATATCCCCCAAACCAATGCCCAGGTGAAGCCCTAGAGACAAATGTGAGTGGGGTGGGGGCTATGGTAGCTGCCCCCTAGCCACGGCACACACAGCTGCACCCAGCTATGCAGCTTGTAGCCAGGAGCATGCTGCTGTTCCATATTATGAATTGGAAATTAAGCACGACCACGTTTTCCAGAAAGGCCTCCTCAAGGACAGGTCCCAACAAGATCGAGCACTTAAGGAATTTATGACAGTTCTTCTCTCCTGGAAACTCTCTTGGCCCAGATCACAACTGCAGTGAGGAGCAGGCGGGCTGGGGCGGGAGACACAGCCTGGGAGGAGGGAGGCCTCCAGGGACAGCAGGGGCCGAGCCTTTGTTTTACAGAGGAGGGGGATGAGGGGATGAGTGGGATGGAGTGGCTTGCCTGAGGCCACAGGGTCAGGGGAGGGCCCAGCCAGCCCCTCCCCACCTGACACTGTCCCTCCTGCGGCCCTGCCCGCCCGGACCACGCAGCCTCCCTCCTGGGACTTACCGATGCTTCTTTTCCTTCGAATGGGCACAGGCCGCTTGTCGGGTGCATGCTTGGTGGCGTGGACCCCATGGGCTCTCAGGCTGGTTTCCAGAGCATCCTCAGCCCCTGTAGGTAGAAAGAGAAGATGGCAACCAGCCCGCCCATAACTGCATGGTGCGCCCCTGGGACTGTCCAGCAGCACTTCCCACAGATCAGTTTTTAGAGCCACCTGGGGACAGAGAGCAAGGCAGCTCAGCCCCACCCTCCCGCCCCAAGATGGGAGGGGGTCCCCTGGAAGACCCTCTATTCCCACACAGGGCTTTTCAGACGTGCAGCGGATGAAACACTTGCCACTACCAAATATATCCCATCCACACAGAGATCCCCAAGATGTACCAGTCTTTGCTGGGCCCCTGGCAAAGCTGAGGACCCTCTGGGGAAGGGGCTGCAGGTGGTCTCCCCCATGGCACCTCCTCCAATGAAACCCAGGTGAGGGCTGAACTGGGTCAGGAAGGCCTGGAGGCTGTCCATCCCAGAACCAAAAGGCCTGTTGCCTCCCAGCCCGGGCGATCTCTCTGAGGGGGCACAGGGCTACTCCAGGCTACACAGCCATCTGGGGTGCTGAACCGAAGGACGAGCAGAGGCCACTGAGATTTCCACTGGTGCATGTGGGTTTCTCCTTCCTTCTCACTGACGTCTCCTAACCTTTGAGGGGCATCGGAAGAAATGCCAGACTGGGCCGTAAGCCAGACCCCACTTTCTTCCTGAAATAAGTCTACTCTGAGGGCAAGAGGCCATGAGAAAAAGCAAGAGGGTAAGTGTGACCTCTTATGGAGCATAAAGTGAGAAGTGGCTGCAGGCCTGAGTCAGAAGACCCCAGTGTCTGCAGTAAAAAAGGTAGAAAAAAGCCCATGTATCTGCAAGCCATATTTATTTATTTATTTATTTTATTATTTTTTTTTTTTAAAAGATGACCGCTAAGGGGATCTCAACCCTTGGCTTGGTGTTGTCAGCACCATGCTCACCCAGTGAGCTAACCGGCCATCCCTATACAGGATCCGAACCCGGGGCCTTGGTGTTATCAGCACCGCACTCTACCGAGTGAGCCACAGGCCGGCCCTGCAAGCCGTATTTATAGCGAGGGTGGGGAGGTGCTGAGAGGGGACAAGCCCTCTTAGCCACAGAGCAATGGCCCAGACAGAGCTAAGATCAGAACCAGACTCCAGGTCAGCACCAAGAACTCTAGCCCCCCAGTACACACAACACCTTACTTAGAGGGGATGATAACTGGGACATACAACCCTCTCCTCTGCCAGTGCCTCCAGACAAGCTGGGGGTATCTCAGGTCTCTCAGATTCCTGAGGTGGGGGAAGGGCACACATGGCCACCTGGATGTGGCCTGACCCAGCCCGCTGACACCACCTATACCTGGATAAAGTGCAGCGAACCTGGCCTCCCTGCCCGGGCCCTCTGGACCTAGCAGGGGGGTCTCTTCTCATCTCGCCCGTCCTGCCTCCCCAGTATATAACCAGGTACTGAGAAGGTGTACCAACAAACAGCCAGGCACTCTCACAGACCCACCAAGACCCCCCGGTCCTGCTGCCTCCCCTCCTGAGAAGCTCATGTGGTGTCCGGGCCACCAGCCCAGGTCAGAAGAAGCCCCCTCCTCAGTCTCTTTCTGCCCAGCTCCCCCAGGTAGCACTGACCATCCACAAACCAGCTAGAGAAATCTCCGTTTCCTCCACTCCCCTCAGAAGTCTGAAACCTGCACATTTAAAATAAAAACCAAAAACCTCACATAAGGTGTGAATGGTAAACACAAAGTCTGAGCAGAGCCCAACTTTTTACTTGAAATGACTCAATGTTCCAGTGCCACTAATTTTTTTTTTAAAGACCCAAAATAAGACCAGAACAGAACTACTCAGGCAATAAGAATTTCCCATCAACCAACTGTTACAATAGGCATTTTTTCACAAAAAAAGTGACACTTATGAGTCATGTCCTGGTGGTGGCCATCTTGCCACCGCCAAACCAAAGAGCAACTGGTCCATTCTCGGGGCTTCTAGAAGATTTACTAACAGCGTCAGCTACCATGTGTTGATGCCCTACTATAGCCGTGCTTGCATTCACTGTTTTAGCGATGACTTAAATTTTACGTGAATGCAGTAGGTACTACCAGCTTTCTGCATCCAAGGAAACTGAGGCCCAGAGAAATGGAAGAGGACGAGAACAGGCGGCTACTGAAGGAACCCTCCAAGGCCTGTGTCCACCATGCTCGCCGCCCCCCGCCCTCTTGCCCTTCTTGATAAACAGAGAAGACAACAGGCCTGCCAGTTCACCAACCCTGCTCAAGTCTTAGTTGGCAAATTTCTTTGGAGACAAGACACAGAAGTGGGAACAGCTCCTAGTCAAACAAGTTCACCTTTCACTCGCAGATCAAGATGGGTGGTCGCAAAGCAAGAGTTAGTTGACCCACACTAATGGGAGAAGTAGCCGTTCTGATTGCTGCTGGTTGAGAAGTTAACTCACTCCAGCAGTAATTTCACAAGACACGATCTCGCGCAGCCAGGCCCAGGCCGCCGGGCATGAATCATTCCCTAAAAGTGCTCTCAGGACAGTTAATCAAGTGGTTTTCCCTTTTGTCTTCTGTGCACAGATGTCCGAATGACAACTCGGAGGATGGGAGAATCCTCCAACCATCGGTCCTGGTCCAAGCGTTAATGGCCCGAGATGGGGATATGTATGTATCAGTTACTCGATGACCTATGGGCGACTGGCCAGACTGCTTTGGAGAACAAAGCTTCCTCGCTGCTATGCCGCTGAATGGTCTGTTCTCTTCACACACGACAAATAGGCCCCCAACTCCATGGCTACTGGTCATTAAGAGACCACATGCTGGTCTCTGAGCCCAAAAGCTACACTGCTCCTGCTCTTCACTCATGGCTGTACATGCCGTCGGAACACTCAGGGCTCAGGGGCATCCTCAGCACTAATATAGAAATCCCATTGCCCCTGGACCTTCCAGCCACACAGCCAAAGATGCAAGTGCCTTGCTCAGTTTCTTCATCTGTAAAATGGGGATGCGGCCAGCCCACTGGGAGGAGCTACATGCCAGTCACAAAGCTCTACCCACTCCAGGAAGGAGTCAGCATATTAGGGACGCACCTGGGATACTTCAAGGTGTCTTCTCTACTTCCTACAGCATTAGCCTTTCACCTAGAGGGACCCAACACCAACAATGTCAACCTGCAAGAGCCCACCCCTTGGACTTATAAAAGGGGATCAAGGAACTCCCAAGGGGGAATGAGTCAAATTGGGTTTCTCCCAGCACCCTGACCCCTTCATCACTAATCCCCTGAATTGTCATTGGCTCCGGCCAGACCAGGGTGCCCTTAACAGACCAAGCATTCCCCTGACTAGACCTAAAGGGGAGTCCAGGGCCCAGAGGGCAGCTTACTCTCAAAAGAACTGACCACCACAGCTGTTTACAACCTTCCCCAGCAGCCTGATCCATTTCAACTATTCACTTTGGGCAGGAACAGGAGTTGGGGGAAAAGACACCCTCATAAAAGCTGGAGAAGCAAACCATGGCCACTACTGTCCTCAGGCTAGAGACTGTGGGCTCCTCTGGTTTTCAGTTTCCACACCATTGATAGGGGGGCTGGAAGGCGACCCACTTTGGGGTTTGTGTCACAAAGGGTCCCCTCCAGGGGCAAGGCTGGGGAACAAGGAAGGTGCTACAGGTCCTTCCTTTGTTTTTATACCCAAAGTTCCCAAACACTAGGAGATTCACATTCAGATCCCAAAGTCTGACATGTAGACAGGAGAGCTGTGACAGGACGGAGAGGCACTCCCCAGGACATTTTTATAGGGGGCAATTTGAAACCAGCCAGGAAGACTGGCTGGTGTATCCTCGCTTTTTCTGTTTGGACCCTTTAGAGGCTCCAGCCCAGAAGCCCGCAGGTCAGGAATGCTATCAGCATAACCCCACTGAGCTGCAATGCTAAAAGCATTAATGACCTGGGGGGGCGGGGGGGAGGCAGGGTTGCAGAGACCAGAATAAGAATGGTCCCAGCAGAAAGTGAATGGCCCATTTCCCTGCAGCAAGGCCAGGTCCCACACCAAGGCCCAGCCCTCCAAAGGCCTCACTTCTACAAGCCAGGGGGGGGTGGAGGGGGGGTGGAAAGCCCTGGAACTTTCTCTGGGAGGCAGTCTCTCCACTTTTCCAAATCTATCAGAGACCAGCAAAATACAGGCAAGTGTTTTCCCAGCTTACCAAAGCCAAATCCTTCTCCCCAGGATTACACATCAAGGGACCAGATCAAAATCCCCCCCGCCACCCCCCACCCCACCT